AAATTGAAGTTATCAAACACTAAATTCTAAATTAAATATAGATGAATCCTTAAAGCTATAAAAGTTATTTTTCCCTATTTTCTTTGTCCTTTGATTAATAGACATCACAGCAGCTGGTTATTTTGGCTGTTAATTCTTTAAGAGCTGCCGCTGCTGAACTTGACGCGGATCTGACACGATTTTCTCTGGGCATTCGTTGCATCCAGTGGGGAAATAATTATGGATTATAATGACTTATACTGTCTGGACTCCGCTTCGTCCACGGTGAAAGCCGATACATTGCATGCACATAGTTTATTTCACGCTTTGATATGAAAGGATACAGGCTACAGCGGGCGCCGGCGCCTTTGTGCGTGCATTGTGCATTGAAGATCACGCTCTGTGAGCACAATACCGTTTCCGCACTCGTTTGACTTGCGCCTGGCGCTGAAGTGAAGTGGAGCACGCGTCTGAAACGTCTCCCGTTCTCAGTCGTTCTGCGACTGGATAAATGCACTTCTTGTCAAGAGAAAAAGTGACAGAAGCAGCAGTTGTGAGTGGGGTGGCCAACCCTAGCCCCTCCCCTGCGTTAATTGCGTTAAATATTTTTATCGCGTTAAACTGAAAAAATTAATCGCCTGCATTAACGTGCTAATTTTGACACCACTACTTTTTACACTTTAAAACTGTTATACATAAAGAAATGAGTAGTAATTTTCACAAACATGTTTAAAATAAAGAAGTTTCACATATCAGAGATCATGGATGCCAAATATGACTGGGAAAATCTCTATAATCTGCCTTTTGCTTTTGCATAATGCTTCATCCACACCAATAGGTGTCAGTATAAGTCATATGGGCTAGAGAAAGATACACAGTCATTTCGAAAAGTTTGTATCTATGAGTTGAACACTGATGAATGCCACTGCAATGTCAATTACGGGGGAAATAGGATTTTCTTTGAGTTAGGGGTATGTCAGTGAGAAAACATGGTAGACACAGTAAATTCAGCATCTGTATTGATGGTAAATTTGCTGAAATGTATGAAATGACTATTTACATTAATAATTTAAAAGTGAGTTAAGTTATTTATTAATATGTACATTTACGACATTGAAAGCACACACGATGCATATTCTTTATTCATGATTTTGTAGAAGTAGAGTTAAAAAATATTGCTATGTATTCTTGCTTCATTTTGCTCCTTTCAAAGTGATTTGAACACACCTGACATCATAATTCCAACTTCCCAACTCAGAAATATGAATTTTTCAGTAGGACTTGAACGCACCATAAGCCGTCTCAAATGAGTTCCAAATCGTTGAGGTCAACTCAACGTACTAATTCTATTGTACTAATTCTAATTATTGTACTAATTCTCTACTAATTGTACTAACATTTTGTTCTTTCTTTCACAGCCAAGCAAAAAGAAGGCACACACTCTCTGAGCAGTGACTCTGGACTCTCCAGCTCCTCCCAGTGGACTGGAGGACAAACCTCTGGGCTCCCAGTCAGCTCCAGCTCTGAGGAGCATCCCCAGCTCCCCAGAGGGCTAAGAATGGAGGAGGAACAACCTTCTCCAGGCATCCTGAGATATGACCCTAAAGCCAATCAAGCAGCATTTGATCATTCCAGTCATTTAAATGGTGAAGCTATGTTCATAGAGCGAGAGACGGACATTTTAGATGATGATGATGACATCATCGCTCCTAATGATGCCATTGCTGCCGTTTCAGACTCTAAAGGCACACTGTCTTCAAAGGAAATGTCTGGCTTGTCTTCAGGTGAATGTCAGAACTCCGTCCAATCAGATGATTGCCAAAGTGAAGCTCCTCCTGCCATATTTAGAGAGGATGTGAATTCCTCAAACACACTCCTACACACTTCAGTACCTGCTGGATATCAGACACATATATGGGTGAAACAGCAACAATCCACGTCTTACATGCACACTTCATCAGACAGACTGGAACACAGGAAGGAGATGGAGCTCCAAAAAGGTGCAAACAAACCTTCATTACCAGACAATGGCTTTCCGGAGGCGCAGTCCGAGCCAGACAAGGACGATGAGTTTGCGACACTGGCTTTGGATGTAGATCAATCAATCGAACAGCTCAATCAGCTGATCCTGGACCTTGACCCCGACTTTGAGCCAATCCCCACCCAGGCAAGGAGTCACATGACCCACTCGGCCTCCCTTCACACCAATGGAAAGACGCACTCGGGTGGAAGGGCCAAATCCCACCAGTCAGGTAAGAACAAATCCTGTTACATTCACCAGGCCTGAATCAATTTATTAATTCCAACTGACCTGCAATCATCCACCAAAATGTTCTAGTTATGTTTTAGGACAAAGTACTATATGTTATTCCTTGAAATACTCTGGTGTATCATGTAAATGCCACAGTATATGAATATTGCAAGCATTGTGTAGCATAGTAAATATCAAAAGTACCATGGTATTACGGTCACACTTTATTTTAAGGTCCAGTTCTCACTATTAACTAACTATTAACTATGACTTTTGCCTCAATAATCTCCTAATTACTGCTTATTAATAGTTAGCAATGTAGTTGTTAAGTTTAGGTATCGGGTAGGATTCAGGATGTAGAATATGGTCATGCAGAATAATACATTAATATGTGCTTTATAAGTACTAATAAACAGCCAATACGCTAGTAATATGCATGCTAATAAGCAACTAGGAAATAGTGAGAATTGGTCCCTATACTAAAGTGTTATCGGTATTACCATCTGAGACCATCACAGCACCATGGTATTGTCAACGCACATTTTGTAAGAGTTCATAAACTTGATAGATACACAACTTCTTTGCATACCCAGCAAATTAACCTTTTTGCAATATTTTAACCTTTTTGATTTTGTAACTTATATTCTATATTTGTTATATTTATTTTTCTACTGTAAACATAAAATGCACAGTATAATGACAATTTATATCAAATACTTTTTGAAATTTTAATTGAAATATATGCTCATCATTTCATTATTATGACTGTAAAATCAAATTAGTATCAAATACAAAGGTAACTATAAACAGACATCATAAGGCAACCAACAATTTGTTTATTTTATAGACACTACTGTTCAAAAGTTGGGGGTCAATACATTTTTTTTTTCATTAAATTGATAAAAATTTGTACATGTACATGTAAAGACATGCATACTGTTACAAACATTTCTATTTTTAAAAAAAGTTGTTCTTTTAAACTTTCTTTAAATCAAATAATCCTGATAAATTATTTTAAAACATTTAAAAAATCTTACCGAACCAAATCTTAGAATGGTAGTGTGTGTGTATGTATAAGATACATATGTATTACCCTCACATTTTAAATACATGTGCCATTTTTGGTGCTTTCAGTGGCATTTTTGCCTTATTCACTGGTTAATGTCTGAGCCTTCAGGCTAGTGACTTTTATTTTAAATTAATGTTTGAGGTTTCTATTGGCAGGGGCCTAATTTATGTTAATAAATGCACAAAGTAACATACAATGGTCCTCTATGTGTAGCTCCTGACAGGATTGCTAAAGAAAATAAAGTCCTGCCTTTCATTTCTGTGTGTGTGTGTAAGTGTGACTGTGCTTGAATATGTAAACATGCAGGTCTAGTATGGAATGCTTGCATAGTGTAAATGTGACCTCTAAGCTGCCTTTTAGTTAAAAAATTGACATAATCATATTTCTAGCAGTGTAATAACTTTGCCTTTGACAACCATTTAGTTACTCCCTAATAATGTTATATTGACTTCTGCTTTTTCCAAACACATCTGTGATGCAGTCTTCATGAACTCAATACTCTGTCTCCTTTGACCTCGGCATACTGAGTGGGTCTTTTTGCTTTTGAAGTGTGTCCCCTGCCTTGCATATGTCCCCTGTCTTTTCTGTTATAAGATCCCAAGGTCCTTTCTTGCTGGATCAGCTCATGTCAGAAAAGTTCTGACACCTGGAATGGAGATTCTTTGAGTAGAGCAGTGAATTCATCCTGCTGAACAGAAATCTTTGCAGTGTTATTATTACTGTAGTATGTCACCAGATATATGCCCGGTGGTGTGTGTTTGAACACACATGGTGTAAGGGCTGAGGAATGCCTTTGAAGTGAGCATCTCCTGACACACAAAACATGTTGTCTTTCCCCATCGTTAAGTCTCAAGGATTTTGTTTGTCTGTACAGTGATAGTGCACAGAGCTTGTACTGTTGCCCATTTGCAATGAATTATTGCCATGTTTTTATCATTATTATGAAAAACTGGGATCTAAAGTTCCGCATTGATAATCTGGGATTATTTTTATTTTACCCCTGAAATAATCAAATAAATAAATAAATAAAGACTTTCCAAAATCTGCACTTTTTTAGGTCACTAATCAAATAAGCAAATTTGTGTCATTGATCATGTGATTCTTTGTATAGTTTTTGCTTCCATTGATATTTAAAATGATCTCTAGATCTCAAATCATGCTGGAGAATAAAGTTTTCATGTATTGCTGTCATTAAAGCAAAAGACAGAAACTAAAAAATAAGATATTTTGAAATTAAACTTCAGTCAAACTGTTATAATTTGTAATGGATAAAACAGTTTAAAATATTTAGAAGTATTTTCACTGGTGGTCTCAGAAAATTTATCAAAAATCTTGTATATATATTTATTTTATTTATACAAATGTATTTATAAAATGTATGAATTTATTTTATACAATATGTAACATTTTATTCATTTATAATATTCATTTATTGATTTTATTTCTAATGTTTTTTTTTATTTTTATTTTATTTTATTTTTTCTTATTTATTTTAATGTTTTTGTGAAATGTACTTTATCACAGCCCTGAAGTAAATGGCTCTTGTTTATGTGAGGTCATAAACTTCTCCTAATGGATCTTATCAAAACAAGCTTTGTTTGAGAACATGCTATTTTAGTTCATGCTGTTTGAAGCTCTTTAACTTTGTTTGATGTTGTTAGAAAATCATGAATAAGAGTGAGATCCTCCTATCTCTGAATGACCAGTCACCATTAAATGTGAACTGTCATGCATTGAATATCAACTGTGAATGCCAAATGAATAACTCTCTGTTTCTGTGTCTCTGTCTGTACAGGTTGGAGGCAGAGACAGCTCAGTGATGTCTCTGAATACTCTGTGCTGCTGAGTGCAGGTAGCGATCGAACGCAGAACAAACAGAGATTCGTCTTTGGCAAGCCATCTCCGGTACAAATGCGCACACATTTATTACTGCACAAATACTTCATAATTGTATAGCCTCAAAATTTTAAACGTTTTAATGTTTAAACTCAAAACATTAAATGTTTTAACTGGAGACTAGTACGATAAAATCACTCACCAACCCTCTGCAAAGTTCTGCCCAATGTCAACTAAAATACAAGTTTAACTTGTATAGAACCTGGAACATTGCTACAACAATGCCTCATATGTTATTGTCTGTTTCAGCAAGGTCTATATCACACTGACACTGTTGACATTGGTGACCTTCCTCCAGAGGCTGACAGTCCACTGTGGGTGGGTCTTAATCAAGTTCAGCCCACACCGGCATTTCCTGTGACACCCCCTACTCCATATGGTAAGGCTGACACTGTGTTTGATATTTGTTATGCTAGTAAGCATTTCACAGTCTTTTTAACCTCTGTTACTATTAAATAGTAATATTGCAGTATATTACTATTATATGTATGGTCATTTCTGAAAATATTATTTCTATAGCACATTTACAAAATACATGCATTGACCAAAATGCTTTCCAGCAGATAACTTAAACAATATAAGCATTTACGTACACATAGACACATTAAAACCTGGTAATGTCTCATTATAAAAAGTCTTTATGCTCAATTTAAACACATCAACTGTCAGAAAAAAAATTATATGCAATGGAAGAGAATGACATAATTGGGGAGCAGAAAATAAAAAATGCCCTTTCACCTTTTGATCTTAAAGAATCTTAAACTGAATCCTAAAATTAACAGGCAACCAATGTAAAGATGCTAAAACTAGAGTAATACTATCGCTCTTCTTTGCATGGGTCAGAATCCTGGCTGCTGCATTCTGCACCAACTGAAGCTGAGATAATTGGCACGGAAAAATACCTATAAAACGAATAGCAATAATCAATACATGACGTCATGAGAGAGTCAATTTCAATTTGGAAATAACTCTTGAGTTGGTAGAAACCAGCCTTAACAACATCATTAACCTGCATATCAAGTGCCAATGCAGAGTCCAGAGTAACACGCAGGTTCTTAACCTGATCAGAAACACTTAATGAAATAGAGTCTAGCCTACTTATAATCTCCTTGGTGCCAGAAGGAGATCCAAAAACAACACACTTGGCCTTATTAGTGTTAAGATGCAGAAAAGTACTGGCTAACCAGGCTTTAACCTTGCGTAAGAAATGTACTAGTGAACAAAACAATGAATACCCTCTTGGATCAAGTGCAATATATCAAATTTTTATACAGTTTTGTATCATCAGCATATAAATGATAAGAATTGTTGTATTTATGAAAAATTGAGTCTAATGGACACATATACAATGAAAATAAAAATGGTCCAAGAATAGAACCCTGTGGCACACCACTGCTTAATGTGCTTAATTGTCTCTTTCCCCTTACAGTGAAGAGTGGACATGACTTCATCCCTTCGAGACCTGGCTCTCAAACCAGTAGATACTACATGAGCTCTCCAATATGGCAAGGTAATCAACTGACACAGAGGCTACATTCTTATGCTACTTCTTTTTATAACTACAGTAGCAAAATCATGTTTATATCTACTTGAGAGGACAAGTATGTGTGCAGATATCATTTTGTGTGTGTACTTGATTGTTCCAGTCAGGAAAGAATCCAACTGTATCTCATACAAATGTAACCTTTAAAAACCCCTGTAGCAAAGTCTGTCTTGCTGCTGTCGCAAATTCTGTGCTGCTCAAAATAACTCTGCTACAGGATGTGGCCCTCTGGGTCAGGATGCATATTTCCTGTAACCTGGCCAGTCAGTGCTCTGGGAACTAGAGCTGTCCTTAGAATTTAGCCCAAAGTACTTCAGTTTTGACGCAAACTCTTACTGTATGTGTACAACTGAACACATAGCCTTCCAAAGTGTGCACAAGAAAGCGCACACATATGCACTAAAAAGTTTAATCCTTGTCCAGTGTTTGCACAATTTTTCTAGAAGTTATGAGCAATGAAAACGTCTTTGTACTCATTTAAACTAGTTTCGTGAAACTCGCCTCAGACAAATCCTTGTCAGTGCTAGCATCTGTTATTATTGCAGTCTCCAGTAGCCTGTGTTGCCACCTTTGTCGACCAACTAATTAGCACAAAAAATTCAAAGTGTATGTGCAAGCTGAGTGTACAGAGTATGCATGGTTAGAAAAATCAGACTGCACACTTGCAGTACCTACATACTGTACTCTGCTGAGGATGACATTTAAATTGCACAGTGTACACATACCCTATGCGTAAAATGTCACTGTTTGTTTAATGTAAATGTCACTTTAAAGGGGTCCTATTATGCTCTTTTACAAAGTCTTGATTTTGTTTTGGGGGTGTACTAGAACAGGCTTTCATACTAGGTTGTTCGAAAAACACATTATTTTTCACATATTTTACATTATTACAACACCTCTCTCCTCAGTCTGGCATGAACGGCTCGAATAGTTCCTGTATCAAATGAAGGCCTGCCTTCTGAAATACGAAATGTGCTGTGATTGTTTAGCTGGGCCAGTGTGTGTTGTGACTGGCACCACTCTGGTCTTCTCGGAAAATATGTGTTGTAGTCCAAACGAGTCGTTCTTTGTAGTTTTTGAAAAGTGATTTCTGTTAAATAAAATATCTCCTTTTGATGTGGACTTGATGTATGCTCAAACAGCAACATTACAGACTAACTAAAGTTGAAAATTTTTTTCAAAAAAATAGGACCCCTTTAACATATTCTGTCAGTCATTTCTTGATTTCCTTATTTTTAAACAAAAAACAAATAAAATTATTAGTTAAAAACATCAGCACATTTGCAAAAACTCAGACAAATATTTAAATTGCACTCATAAAAAAAAATCATTATCATTATGTAACTTTTATGGGGGAAATACTATTGCCTGATTACGTCTTAATGAGGAGGCACAGGAAAACATGGGAATAATGATAGATTGGAAGAACAAGAAGACGATGTTATATCACATTATATTACAAGATTTTTTTTTGTTTTTTTACAGTTTTTACAGTATTAGTACATTGATTGATATAAAAACATTCACAAGCAACTACAAACCATAGCATTAAATGTTTTTACACTTCATAAATAATCTTCAAGCCAGATTACCTGTTTTATAATCCAAATTCCAGCATTACAAGATTTCTATTTTAAATAAAAAAACAATAAACAAAGTGATAATGAAATAGATTTGTTTCTTTATACAGTGTTTAACACGTCCAGCCTCCAGCAAGTTTAGCCTAGAGGAGGGGAGGATGTCTTGTATATTTTAATTTCCTGATGTGGGAAGATTTGGAGGTTATGTAACAGCAGTCCATCTATGTTTTAGTGTCTAAATAAACAGGAGAAAATAAAAGGTCTCACAGCCAAACTCTCACTGACAGACAAATGCAAATATTTACACAGACGTTTGAGGGGGAAGGAAGGGAAAAGCACGGCCCCTTTAAATGAATTTATGTGCTACAGTGGCTGAGGTCACGTCAGGGACGTTACAGTCTGATAAGCAGGAACAGTTTAAAGTTGTCTATTTTAATATGTTTTAATTGTATATTTTTATATTTCATATTTTAAAATGCATCCTTGCTGAATAAAATCTTACTGACCCCAAACTTTTGAACAGTATTGTAAAAAATTAAGTAAACAGCTTTAAACAAGATAAATTCACCAGAGAAACAAGAGTATCTTGAATAGAGTCTGGGACCACCAGGGAAAAGCATTTCTATTTTACATTTCTTTCATTTAAAACATAGTTACATATTATGTTATTATATAATTTAAGTCACTTAGAAAAATTGAAGAATCTAAAACATTTGTGTTTTATTCATTTTAGATCATAACATTTCAAAACCTAAACCTTTTTCTCTGTAAATTGTTTTTTCATACTTTTTTTTTTTCCATTTTAATTTTAGCAGATTTTGTTCATTTGTTAGATCAGTAGTTAAACAAGTGAAATAATCTGCTAAAGGAAAGTCAAATATCAAACACAAAATCAAAGTCAAAATACACATATTCAAGATTCTTGTCTTAGAAGTCTTCATATATTGTGAATGTTGCTTCCTGGGTAAAGATAATGTTTTTCATGTATTTATTCCAAATAAATACAGTTTAAGAAAATAACTGTTTTGCATAGAAGCAGATGTTGTGAACAGCAGCACATGGTGGTCCATAAAAGGCCTCACCCCTGACCCCAGTGCCGTTTGGTTAGGTGAAACAGACTGTGAGAGTCTGTGGAGAACAATGATTGAATAACCTATCAAAGGCAGGAGAGCACTCATGAACTCTTATGGTAATGAAGCCATGGGGGGTTTTCACTGCCTTTCTGCCTCATGCCAGTTGGGGGCAGTCGTCCTCCTCCCTCTTCCTTTTCCTTCAACCTTCCCCCTTCCCTCCTTCCTCAAAGCTGGAGTCAGTCAACCAGTGGCACTGCTGGAAGAATTAAGTAGTTTTCCATCTGGGGTTTAACAGAATTCCAAAAACTCAATGACTTAATTCAGGCTAGACACAGATGAGTAGAGAGAGAGAGGAAGGGGACAGAGTTGGACAGAACTGCAACTGTGTGACGGGATGGTCATGGTCAGTGTTTGTGCCGGGAAGCAGACAGCACAAAAGAGAAAGAGAGAGAGAAATGTGAGGTGAAATAAGTGACAACGTAGACATTACAGACTTGGGACCGTGAAAGACTGACACTGGGAGACTAAGTAAGCGTGCAGGAGCGTCAGAACACAGCAGTGGCCGGCAAGTTCAGTTTATCTTCTGTGGATGAGTCTCTTTTGAGGAATACTTCAGCATGACTGCTTCTCTGGGTATTTGTGCCATTTTGACAAACTTTTTGAGTTGTGCTTGTGTTTGTGCATGTGCTTGTATGCTAATGCATCAGCCATTTGCTGTAGCCATCTCTGGCAGACTTGAATTGTCTTCTTGTCAGCATGAAGTCTATGTGAACACCCCCTCTCCATGGACAAAACTCTCTTCTCTTCTCTTCTCTTCTCTTCTCTTCTCTTCTCTTCTCTTCTCTTCT